GATAATTTGGAATGAAACGTTTCGGATTCCTCACTTTCAATGTAACATCCTCAATACCGGGTTAGTGATTAAATTGAAAAGTTTAGGGATTTAAAGTGTAATAATTTGATAGTGGATTAAATGGTAATTATGGAAGAATTGAAAGGGTATTATGGTCTTTTTATGTAAAAGATAATTATCTCTTATTTAAAGAGATAAGCTGATGGGTAAGGAAGTATCTGGAAAGCTACATTCTTCTTCCTTCTTCTTCCCGTTGGTTTACTTCATAAAGGTAAGTTTAATTTTAGTTGGTTAATTCTGGAGTTTTAAGCTTAGTTTTGATTCTTTGGGTATTAAATAAGCTTAAGGAAAGCTTATATGGGATTTAAACAATAAGATAAAGGAATTATGAAGGAATTTGCAATATGAGTTTTAAGATGAAATTTTGATATGGTATGGTTGTTGAAGTTTTATGGATGAATTTGACTTGTCATCAATCTAATTAAGAAGTATGAAGTGTTAGAATTGGAATTAGAACACATTGAAAATTTGGTATGATTTTTGAATCTATGGAATATAGGATTTTGAGGTTTAAGATGAAATAATGAATATAAATTGGTTTAAGTATGTGTACTAGAGTTAAGAATGAAAAAGGGGATGATATATGAAGTGGTTGAGAGAAATGAAGTAATTTTCGGGCTGAAATATGATTTCTGGGCAAGGGGAATCGTACCCATTCAAGGGGAACCGATACCCCTTCAAACGACAGAATTCCAGAATGTCTTGAGGAATCGATACCCCATAGTAGGGAACCGATTCCCCCTAAAGGAAAAATGGGAATATTGGTTTAATAAGTTCGTTTAAGTTGCTAGTATCTAATTAAAAGGTGTAGGTATCTAATGATTACCTCGAAATGTACATCTATGTAGATTCTACGCATAAAGAAATTCCGGAACGTTTGGCAAGTAAGATCGATCAAGGGAAAGATAAGAGATTGGAATTGACTAGTGAGGCCAGGTGAGTGCATATTCAATAGTATATGATGTGCCATGGGAATAAGACTTGCGAGTCTATTTCCTGAAGTGTTACACATGAATGCATGATTAAAGGCATGAGTTGAATATGCATGTATGTATGCTTGAGTATATGGATGATTTGTTCTTTTATGTGTTAGATGATAAAGTATAAGTAATTACATAAGAAAGGTTATGAATTATAGATATAAACTATGTGATCATAGTAAAATAATTATTATTATAATAAGTGAATAAGATGGATAATATTGATCTATAGGATGAAGTGAGAATAGTACACTAACTAGGAGATTTAAACATAAATGATAAGATGAACATATAAGATAAGCTAGAGGGGAAGGATTCATATGTTTAAATAAACTATAACACATGGGTTGTATGATAGAAAATTATGAAGTTATATGAGAAGATTATAGGAGTTATATGAAATTGAATTAAGTAAACAAATTAGATCATATATAGAGAAATAATAGAAGTGAGATATGTTTATAAGTCTGCCCTAGATGAATATGAATACGAAATATAAGAGTGCTATATGATTTATATTAGGATAATCTTGAGGATATATATATATAGATAGATATGAAATGAAATGAAATGAGTTATATGAATACACAATTATGTGATGAAATGGTGGATTACCGAACATGTGAATATATATATATATATATATATATATATATATGTCTAAGAGAAGGCATAAGATTAAGATATAAGCAATGTGACTATAAGTATATGTGCTCTAAGTGATATGACTTATAGATATTTCTATTATAATGTTACATGATATTTATGTATGTTAAAGGAATTATGTGATGGTATAAGAATTGATATGAAATATATATGTGAAAACAAGTATATTATGAGACAAAACCTATGATTATAAGCTACGTGAAAGTGTTCCTATCTGTTATATGAAGTATGATCATATGTGAACAGATATGATGAGTATGTGTACATGAATAAATGTGGTTGGGTGAGAAATGATAGAAATTATAAACACATGTATAGGTGAATTAGCTTTATAATTAGGTAACTATAGGAAATCATAACTATGAATTATTGATGTGAAAGTAATCTATGTGATTATATGTTATATGAATACAAGAACATGAGATATGTGACATGTGAATTATGGAGATGATCTACGTATAAGTGAACTACGTGACTATGTGATAATATGAAAAGAAGCTATGAGATAAGTGATATGTGAAAGTGAATTACAAGTTATGTGAATATTTGAAATGAAATAAATGATAACGCCCATGTTATGTGTCATGAGAGCTAAGGGTATAGTTGGCATGCCAAGAGTCGAGGGTCTACGCGGTTCTTCGAGACATATGTATATTCTTTGGAATATGTGTGAAGTCTAGAAAGACACATACTTGATCCCTAGCATATGTATATGATTCTTAAAGAATTCTATGTGGTCCTTATGGACATTATTATATGGCACTACGGTGCAATTCTACGCGGTTCTTCGGGACATGTATATTCTTTGGAACATGTGAAGTCTGGAAAGACACATACTTGATCCCTAGCATATGTATATGATTCTTAAAGAATTCTACGTGGTCCTTATGGACATCATTATATGGCACTTTCTACGCGGTTCTTCGGGACATATGTATATTCTTTGGAACATGTGAAGTCTGGAAAGACACATACTGATCCCTAGCATAGTATATGATTCTTAAAGAATTCTACGTGGTCCTTATGGACATCATTATATGGCACTACGGTGCAATTCTACGGGGCACTTCGGTGCATTTATACGAGCTGTGGTGACAGCATAGTGCACAACCTCTATAGACTCACATATCGATAGTTCTCACATATGTACATGGGCTAATCCAGAGATATGAACAAATATAAGTTAGTGGTATGATAATGCTATAGAAATGATATGATTGTGTGTATAGTGTTTGATTGAAAAAGTATGTGATTATATGATAAACTGTTAATGATGAATTATGGGTATGTATGTATTTACTGCAATTAATCTGATATGATTTTATACGATATGAAAAATGCATGGAATATAACATGATAGAACAGAATATGCATGTATCAATATATGTTTTAAAGTGCATTATAAGTTGTTATGCCTCACTAAGTCTTCGACTTAGCGTGTGATTGTTTCACACGTAGGTTTCGAGAAGAGTAAGGAGTGTTGCGGAGCAAGACAGGTCAGTTTTCCTTACCAAAAGATCAGATCAGAAATATTTGACAAAGTATGTATTTGGTTATGTATAAAGTATTGGCATGTAATAAGTCATTAAGTACGAGCACTCTGATAAAGTCTTGATTTTGATTTAAATAAAGTTTTAAATTTCCCGGGATTTTTCTTAAGAGTCAAGGTTTGAAAAGTCAATGTGACACTTCGGACTCGTATCCGGGTCGGATACGGGTTGGGGGTGTTACATTCAATCTCAAAATCATGGACTTCAGAGCAAGTTTCGACAAAATGGAGATCGGATTCGAACTCATGGTGTCAAGGTGAAGGGACCCATGAAATTTGAGACCAAACGACCACTATGTGCGGTGGTCAACGGTGGTCGCAACAACATTTAGGGATGCACAAAGTCGGATTAAAATCCGATCCGGATCGGATAAAAACCGATCCCATTTTTTCACCTAGCCAAAAAACCGGATTAAAAAAAAGTCGATTCGAATCCTAACCGGTTTGGAGGGTCGGATGGTGTAACCGATTTTTAATCCAGTAAAAAAACCGACCGTCCAATTTTTTCCCAAACCAGTTATATTAACAGCTAGTTTTTAAACCCCAAACGAGATTGTTTTCGGATAAAAAACCGGTTTTTATAAGGTTTTTTTCAAACCGATTTTTAATCTGGTTAAAAAAACGGTCGTCCAATTTTTTCCCAAACCGGTTATACTATCCGGTTTTAAAATATCCAATCAGGTTTAAAAAAACTGATTTTTCCCAAATCCGGTTTCGGATATTTTTTGCGTAAAATTGGATATTCGGATTTTTTTGTGCACCTCTAGCAACATTCTTAGTCTTTTTTGTTAACGACGTTAGAGAGATAATAAGGGAGTGAGTAAATTAGAAAAATTGTAAGTACAGTGAACAAAATAAGAGAGAGAATAAAGTACAATGAGGAACAATATAATTTACCCAAATGGGAAAATTAAAATAGATTTTGGTGTTAGTCTAATTGAAGATAAATGCATGTCTGGTGAAAACATTCAATACGTATTGATTTTTTAACAATTACAATCATGGTATAGAAATTCAACTTTTGTTTCGAGTTCTTAGGACATTTAGCTATTAGACTGGTAATGACGTAATGATGTGATTATTTCTTTCTTGTAACTTTTAGTTAGTTTATTAATTTCATCATTAAATTTTAAAATATTTTAATTTAAACATTGAATTTTGATTAAGATATTAATTTGGTCCATATAGAAAATCGTTAACTCTAATTATCATTTTCGATCAAAATATGTTTGACTTCAAATTTTGGATGTTTAAGCTTTGATAGAAAAAATTGAGAAAATAACTTATGAAAAATTACATCGTTAGCTATTTTATCAAAACATAAAGATTTTTTAATTGATTGAAAAACTGAACTACATTTAATTATATATTTTTTCTTCAACCAAATATCAAAAAATTATGAAAATATATTTTTCATAAAATAATTTATTTGAAACAAACTCGTCCTAAAATCAAATATTAATCCTTTATTTAATATGATATGTCATCATTTTGTCAAAGGATAATTATAATCGTATAATAATCATTTTTTAATTTTTCAATAATGTGAAGATTCATTTTGTAATTTTGTAATAATTAAATGAAAACCTTTAAAAGAAAAACTAAATGACCATATTATAAGGATTCATAGTTTGGTGGAAAATATGAAAATATTTGCTTAGTTTATTGACTACTTTTATAAATTACTCTTTTTATTTTTTATAAAAAGAAAAGAGAAAAAGAGAGCCGTCAATGATTTTGAAAACAATAAAACTAAAATAAAAGATGAGAAAGGAAAACTAGAAAATGAATAGAAAGAGAAGTCTTTCAGTTCTGTAATTCCGTTCCATACCGAAGACAGACAAAAAGAGTGAAACCTGAAAGACAAAGGTCGTTGTTTCTTCATTCCTATCAATTTTGAAAGATGAACGGCGGCCCGTCTGGTTTCAGTGCGTTCTATTTATTCTTCATTTTTTTTGCCATGATTCTTTTTTTCTTTCTATTTTCCCTGAATTTTTCACGAGTTGTTATATTATTGTGATTCTTGGCTGCAGATAATGCTCCAGTCACAAGAAGCTTTATAGCTGTATCTGCGGTCTTCACCGTATTTTTTGGGATCCAAGGCCGTTCGTTAAAGCTCGGATTGTCCTATCAGGTAAACCCTTGTTAAGTAGTTTTGCTTTGAATCTGGATTCAGTTTTCCGTCTCTAGATTTTGTTCCCTTTCTTAATATAACCATTTTCTATATGAATTATGATCCGCAGTTTTTCACTTCCAATGTTAATTAGTGTTCGTGGATACGTGCTCCTTTTTTATGTTTATCGTGTGAACTAGATTCTAGGGTTTTCCTGTAACGCGTCTTTGATCTACCATTTCAATTTCCACACAAGCTGTTGTTTTTTATTTCCCCAATTTACCAGGATTGGCCTTTGCTTTTCTGAAAATTAAATTCAAAAGTTGTCCTGTGTTTTTATGGAAAGAATGAGAAATGTTTAATTGTTCTTTTGGTTTTAAAGTGGATTTTAATTGAATGAATAATTGTGTTGGATATCAATGCATCAAGTAGATGACTTTCTTTTACCTTTTCTCGCCATCAACTGCTGATCTAGAAGACTCCATTTCAAGCAAGAATTGTGATTGGGCGGTTAAGATGCAAGTGATTTCTAAGTTTTCTGTTTTGCACATCATTAGATCTTTCGTAGGTTTTTAATTAGTTTCTACTAATCTTACTCCGAGTATATCATTTGTTTAGATACATGAAATTCTTCTCATAAGAGAACACATATTTGAATGATATTCAATTATTAGTTAGTGATTCATCTTCTTATTTTGGTCCAGAAAATTTGCTCAAAATCAAGTATTCTTTTGTCACTGATTTGACTGAGGTTGAGACTTGAGATACCGAATAGATATTGCTATCTTCTGGTTTCCCATTTTGAACTAGAAGAGCTATGGACTAGAACAGCAATACAATAGTAACACATTTTCAACTCAGATTTCTAATCAATATGTTGTAGTTAACCTCATAAGTCAGACAACTTCAACAACAAATTACATTTCCCTACTAGATGATATTAGTTATACAGACTTATTACTTTATTTAAGACCATATCGCTAGAAGCTCATCGGGATGCATACAAATAATAATTAAGTAGAAAATTATGATATATAAACAGCTTTTGAAGTATCGAGCTCAAGAGGAAAACAAGCTTATATTCAACTTCTTAGTTTAATCCTTAAACAATTAACAGAGCCTGCTCTATTTTCTTTGAATGTCTCAAAACATACATGATAATGTTTTGTACTACTTCAATCATCTTTTTGTTCGTCTATAGGAATAATAGTGTTGTATTAGTTGGTGCTACATTTTCTCAAAGCCATTTAAACAAGTGTTGCTATACTGTTAATTTGTTATTCGTTCAGTGTGAAAAGTTATCTCATTTTAATTTAGATGACAAAAGCAGAATGGGTATTTCTTTCTGAAATTCTTATCAAAAAAAAGAATGGGTATTTCTTTTAGTTTTTTCTACAGGTTTTAAGTGCATCTGTTTATGTGCCGAATAAAACTAATTCAGGAAGCACGCTTCCCATTTTCAAAAGCTTACTTGTCTCAGAAATGGGAAAAAAAGGTGGGTATTAATGTGTTAAGATTTCTTGTCAGAAAAAGCCGGATAGTAATGGTAATTTCTCTCAAAAATGGGAAAACAGGGTGGGGTGAGGGTATTTTGTCTTAACTATACTGTAAAGCTGCTAAATATATAGTAAAATTAAATAATGCTAAAGAAACTGTTTTAATCCAACAAATTTATTTTCCATTTTGTTTCTGTTTATTAACACTGATTTTACATGGATGAGGAAATATTATTTAAATCAGAATGCCATCGCAAATTAGAATAAAATTTGAAAACTATTAACAGCTTTTTATCGAAGAATTAAATGTTTTGCAATTCAAAAGATCTAGCACTGCAAGTGAAGCCATTGAATTTTTTGTGATTAAAGGTGATCTGTCCCGAAGAATTTCAAGTTTATTGTTCCTCTGCTAAAGAAGGGTTATTGAATTTTGCTATAATAGCATTATTTCACCTTTTTAACTATTTCTTTAGTTGCTCCATCCAATTAGAAACATCTTTTCAATTCATATGCTGATATATTTTCATTAATTTCATATTTGCTAAAGTCATTGTTTTATTTGCAGTTCCCCGTGTTTATTACATCCTTCTTTTCACGGCTTTCTTTTCCCTCTATGGGGAATTCACCTACAGCACCAGCTAGGAATCTTGCAGAAAATGTACCTTCCTACACAACTCGCCAAGTGGAGGCAAGTATTTTTTTTAAAATGCTTCAGTCTAACAAATTTCTTACAACGTATTTTTACTAGGAAACAGTATTAGTTGTAATTTACATGCCAGCATAAACATGCATATCTGGCAACTTTGTATCATGAAGCATGTGATCAGAATCCGAAGTCGGAGTTACATCAGGCAAGAGGCTTGACTGAGATATTGTATACGATTATTTGTTTCCGATGCATTTGATTCATCAAACTTGCATTATGTGCTGCATATGAATGTTTATGGTGTTCAACTGCTCTTATTATAGTATGCTGCGGATGATTTAACATTTCAGTGTCATAAACTTATAATATTGCTATTATTTTAGTTTGTTAAAGTATTACTGCTTAGTGGTCGTCGTTGGGTGGTTTTCTATAAGTTTCAATTAGGGATGACAAAACGGGCGGGTCGGGTGCGGATACCCCCTCCCCCATCCCCATACCAACCTAATATTTTTCAATCCACCACCCGCCCACCACCCATGATGGGTACAAATTTTCAAATCCACACCCGTCCACGCGGGTATATTTTCAAATCCATCCCCACACCCACTAGCGACATACCCATCTAGACCTGCCTGACAGCAAACTAATGGGATGCTGGAGTTGGTTCCCAGACAGTTCGTGATGGGGTAGCAGCGCATGCTTCAATTTGTCAGAGGAGTAGCTCTACGAATGTTATGGAGACAGATTGTAGGGAGCATGTAGTCGCAGAGCTAGATTGTTGTGTTGCTTTCGATGTTAATGCTCATAGTGCGCCTAATATGGGTTTTGAGAGGCTAAAGAACATAGAAACTGCTGCTTTTGATGTTAATGCTTATAGTACGGCTAATTTGTGTTTGGATGGGCAGCATGAGATAAAGAATATGGAAAGTGACTTGGTTAGTGGGATTATGGTTTTAATCAAAGAGCCGAATATTTCCCTAATTAAAGACCAGATTAAAGACTAAATATCCTTAATATTTGGATAAATTATATGTTATATATTATACAATATTAAAATTTATAAATTAGTCTCTAAAATTACACCTAAATTCATAATGGTCTAAAATTTAATAGATATTTAGTTGGGTGGGCGGATGTGGGGCGGGCGGATGCGGGGCGGGTAATGTCTCAAACCCATTACCCGCCCACCACCCACGACGGGTACCACTTTATAAATCCACACCCGCCCACTACCCGCTAAAATTATACCCATCCCCGCTCCAATTGGAGCGGATGCGGTGCGGAATCCACGGAACTGTACCCGTTTGCCATCCCTAGTTTCAATACTATATCCTTTTCTCATCTATAAGGTTCATACATTCTTTTGAAGGTTGATATTATGATCATATGTAACTTGATGCAGTAATATTGATGTAACTCTATGCAGTGTACCTTAGTGTGTGAAACCACTATATTGATGAATGTACTTTTCTTTTTATCAAAGTCTGAATCCTCCATGTATGCAGAGCAAAAATGTCCATACAGTTACTAGATCGTCTATACCAGCCCTTCGGGATACTGAATGGTGAAATGCGTATGACCCATTTGCTGCATGACTATGATTAGTGAGGATTTATGGATTTGCGACCCATAATTATCTTTTAAAAAGATTTATTAAGAAAATGCAAAAACTTGTAATAGAAGGAAGAGACGTAGGAAATTCTCTCTCCTTTGAGAGGAGATTCAGGCATTTAAGCAGAAACATGAGAATCTGCACTGAAGTTGAGATTAGCTCCTTGTATCCCTTCAGAATTCTGACTCAATGTTAAGTAATATCGGAGTTTTCTGAGATTTTGAGCTTTATAGATATCAAATCTGTTAACTATGTTTGAAGGAAAAAATAGTCTTCATGGATTGACTGATTACATACAAAGCATTTGATAAGATCCTGTAGGTTGGGTATTTTATTGACCATTATTCCGTCTTTGGCGAACAGTTGTATTTTCAAATTTCAATAGACATTTAGTGGTCAATTGGTTTCTATAGATTTTGACTAATTTTCCCTAAAGTTGTTTGTTTTATGAAAAGGTACCACTGTCATCGAACTATTAGATTCAGTGTCAGTTAGTCATGTGCTGGTTCTGCCTTTTCCTGTATTTAACTGAGAAGATTTTTGAATGGTTTTTGGATTTACACGTCTGGCAAAAGATTATTTAGTATTAGATTGACCACTGATATGCAAAATTACAGCCTTGAACTCTTTGTTTTCAGAGAACCTATCGACCCACAGTTGCACCTTAAGCTGTAGAGCCATTGGAGGACTCTGTTGCTACCCTGGTATCGATGGGCTTTGATCAGAACTCAGCCAGGCAGGCACTTGTGCACGCTAGAAATGATATCAATGCTGCCACGAACATTCTTCTTGAAGCACAGTCCCACTAATTGAGACAGAATTGCCAGCGAAAAGTGGACGCGCAGATGTTATTTCATCGGACTTAATGCTTTCATCATACAGATATATACATTTTGGCCACCAATTTGCTTGCCTCCTGAGTTCTGTGCCATTCCATTTTGTTGCCCCCTTCTATTTCTGTTAGTAGCTTGTAGTTTAAGTTATCATACACCAATGCAACAAAGGTTTTTGAAATTGTTTACCCTCATGCATGCATGGATTGTTATATGTGGGGCATACGGTCCAAAATTACTGGCAAGTTTTGTATATTTGCATGATTTGAATAGACAATTTAGGTTCCCTTTAGTTACAGCCAAATCTCCTCATTGTAGTATTAGACAAAATGCTGATGATTACCCGAATTTGGTCACTTTTCTTGGATGAGTTCTAGTTTTTACCAATTCATTTTATACTCGACTTCTGCAGGCAGTACAAGCTGTAATTAATTTTTTTCACACGGAATATAGCTAATTTCGCACTCAGGTTTATCTTTTATTTATTTAGAACCTGCCAGTGGAGACACATCACCCTCCCCCTTTCATCGTTTTCTTTTATTAAACTTAATTTTCTCCATAAGATGACAGTCTCCATCTTATTAGATGATTATTGAATATTTTTTATTAAAATTACAAGATTGTAACATATGTTAACATATACCTTAATTTTTTTTATCAAAATTATGATCAAATTCATAGAATATACTAACGATTATAAATTTGTATTAGATATAGGACAACTTTATATTAGTAGTGTAAATAATAAGTCGGTATCAATTTATTAAATAACAAATCAAAATTTTAAAATATTATACATATTGATATTAGATTAAATTATAAAATTTAAAAATAAAGTATAAATTGAATAAAAAGAAAACTTGAGAGACTTAACTTCCATATATTCTATATTTATTATATAAAATGAAATTTGAATATTATAAATATAGTTTTAAATATTAATATTAGACTAAATTATAAAAATTAGAAATAAACGAGAGTCAGTTTAAGATTAAATAAAAAGATTATGAACTAAACTAAATAAAAAGATTATGAACTAAACTAAATAAAAAGAAAACTTCATAGACTTATCATATTATTTATCATTTTTATTAAAGTTAGATATATTAATGTGGTTAAAATTGCCTCATATTGTAATTCTATTGATTAATATTTTTTTAAATAGTGTTAAAAATAAAACAACTCGAATAACATCAAAAAAAAATTAAAAAGGGATAACTTGATAATATATATAATTTAAGGACAAATAGTTTGTTAAACCTTCATTTAATAGTGGGATCAAAATAGTCAATTTTTATAAGAATGATTATTAAAAAAAAAGAGTTTTGGTTATCTCTTCAGTTATTTGATGAGCTCCGAATCTTGGGTTTTAGCATATATTTCGCTCGGGTAATTCCCTCCACTTTCTCTCGTTCTTTTCTCTTTTCCCCTCAAACAAAATTATTGGAAACGCCTGTTGTTTTTCATTCTTTTTCCAAAACGTTGGTGTTTATTTCCTTTTTGCTTAAATATTGTGGTTGATTTTGCAAATAATTTAGAGACTTGTTCTGTTTTTATGTAATTTCAGTGTATTTAATTTATTTTCTAAACCAGTTTCGTTTATTTGAAGCAAATGTTTTAAAGCAATATCCTTAGTGTTCCAATCCAGGTTATTGCAATGGAAGATTCTGATTTATTTTCGGATGAGCCGCTTGTAACCCAAGGTTAGAAAAAGCTTCAATTCTTTCTCGTTTTCCTGTTTATTTCTGGTTTGTTTTGTTTTGGTTGTTTTAATTAGATTTTGAATCTCTTGGCAGCTCGTGCTGGTGTCAAATTTCAGCCCAAGTTTAAACGTAAAGCCAAAGTTGAAACTTCTGGCTCAATCCCTTCAAAACCCCCTGAAATTACGAAGAAGGAGGCCGCTACGGTAGCATCCGCCGCCATTGATTCAGCTCAGGTTGTCGAGCCCGACAATATTGTAGATGACAGTAAGAGCTCTCAAGTAATAAACCCTTCCCAAGTAGCTGCCACAGGTTCTATGCTTGCTGAGGCTGCCGTTTGCGACGATACAAATTCGAGCTTTGAAAGATCAGTTGGGGAGGTAAACAAAAACTATAGTTTCTATCTCATTAATTAGTAATTATATTGCTTGAACTCTTTCATTAATATCTGGATATGGGTTTGGGATATGATTTTCCATGGATCCTAAAATACATGAGAAAACTTAGAAAAAAGAAGTTAAACACTTCTTTGTTGGACACATATCTATTTGATAATCAAGGCTGAGTTGGAGTAACATAGAATAGTATTATTGGCGAACTAGTACCCCTTTTTTTCAAGACCGGGTATTAAATTATTTGGTAGATTTTGGCACATCGGTTTCATCTAAAGGGAAAAAGGAAAAATAGTTCACGATTGGTTTTATTTTCAGAATGCAGACTTATTTTCTGGGTTGGAATGTTTTGATCCTTTGTGTACTCAATCTTCAAATAATGATGGAGATATTCAGAATGATAATGAAGGAAATAGGACACAGGTGAAGATTGGTACCACTATAAAAGTTTCAGAATTTCTTGTTTGTATTTACTTCCTTGGATTAAGAATATTTGTTTAGTTTCAGGAAGCAGGAGCTTTCCCAGATATTGATACTCTAGATACTATATCAGATATGAAGATTGCCTCTGGTATGTGATGGATTGATTGCTATGTTATTCATACTTCCTCTTTAGTGTTTTGTTGTGCCTTTGTGATATCATTCTTGATGTTCAGGAAGGCGTGCTGGAAAATTCAAACCCAAGCCTAGGCTTCAAACTAGTGTACTCACCTCACCACCTGCTGTGGTTGAGTCGGTTATGCATCCTCCAAATGCTCAGTTTGGTCCTTCTGAAACAGTGTTTGGAGAGGGATCAATTCCTGACTTGCCAACCGATCATGTTCCAAACTGCTCATCTGCAGATCCTTCCACATCTGAATGTCCGGTGAATGAGGAACTGTCAAACCTTGCAGTAGCTTCTAACTCTGGTGTTGATCTTCGTGGAAATGTTCCTGTCCTGGCTAGAGAAGTGGTAATTTTTTTCTTCCACTGCATCTCCTGTATCTAATCTTGGACGTGGATAGAACTCATTTCGAAGTTTCATTATCTGATTCTATCCTGCTTATGTTCCTCTATTGGTTCTCAGAGATCTAATATCATGGAAAAGAACACCTCTCTAGTATCCAGTGCTTCTCAAAAGTCCAAGCAATCTTCCACTAGAGATGAGGTGAATGGAAAAGGCAAAGCAAGAAAGCAGCTGACTAATCTGCATATTGTTGATGATCTTGAGGATGGGACTTGTAATGGCGATGGCCTCACTGCCAAACACCCCCTTAGTTATGCTATCAATGAGGATAAAGACGACAACAATGGTGATGAAAATGACAATGGTGAATATAATGTAGAACATGTATCTGCAAAGAGGAAACCTTCTAAGAGGTCAAAGAAAACCGTGAATGAAAGTGAAAAACCTTCTCGAAAATGTAAGATAGCTAATGAAGCTCAAGTGACTAATCTGCATACAGTTGACGATCTTGAGGATGGGACTTGTAATGACGATGGCCTCGCTGCCGAACACCCCCTTAGTCATGCTATCAATGAGGATAAAGACGACAACAATGGTGAATATAATGTAGAGCGTGTGCCTTGCTGCCGAACAGCCCTTTAGTTATGTTATCAACGAGGACAAAGACGACGACAATGGTGATGAAAATGACAATGGTGAATATAATGTAGAACATGTATCTGCAAAGAGGAAACCTTCTAAGAGGTCAAAGAAAACCGTGAATGAAAGTGAAAAACCTCCTCGAAAACGTAAGATAGCTAATGAAGCTCAAAAGCGTAAGAAAGTCACTGAAGCATCAGATAATCCAGAAAAAGAACAGAGGAAGAAATTTTCTCATTCAACTCGTAGAAAGAGAAGATTTGGTTGTTAAAACTTCTAGATTTCAAAGCTATGTCACTTTATCTGTTATCTATTACCTGCTAAAATATATGTTTTCTTTTCCAGTGGATGAGTCTTTACTCAACACGGAAGAGGACGAAATCGACTTTGCAAGGGTGGCCTTGAAGGATCTCATTCTACTTGCTGATTATAAGGAGCGGTTAGCGGTATGAGTTCTGTTTTTGTGTAAAAGTTATGATACTTCCTCCAATCCTGCAAAGACTTTTGGCGTTAGAATATCAGTTCTATTATCTTTGCTTGATACATTGCTATTGTCCTTTACCTGACCTAAATATGATGTGTTATGCAGAAGAAAGAGGCGAAAGCTTTAGGAGTTCCTTTGACCAGTCAAATGTAATTGAATTTTTCGTTTTTGTAATTCTTTTCAACATTGTATGCAGTAGTCTATTGATTTATGGTTCTACTATTTTTGTGCAGTAATCAAAAGAAATTTGATGAGGTAAATACTCATGATGAAGAAAGCCCCATTGCTTCAGAACAAGACCAAGGTTTTACGGATGATCAAGTGGGTGGCAGTGTCAAATCAACTACCTACTTCAACTACCAGACTCACATGAACAAAACTCCCAGAGTAAGATGGTCTAAACAGGACACAGAGTTGTTTTATGGGGTATGTGCTTGAAGAATTTCTTATCTTTGTTGCTTCCATTAGAAACCAACTAAGCTTTATATCAACGGAGTAAAAAATGAAAAAAAGATAAAATGTTTTCCTTCGTGTGCTAGTGTCTGTGTGATTACAACTTTGTTTCGGTTTAGTACTGCAAAATTTTGTGATTGGACCATCGTTGTCATGTTGGTTGAGAGGATGTGTCTCAGGATAGGTTTGGTTAAGTTATTAGGAATCCCATTTTAGGCATTTGAAGAGACACAGATTAGGTTCACAAGATACTCCTGACTACTTTCTAGAATGAGTCTATGATCTGAATTTTTAACACAATGTTTGGTGAAATGTGTTTTAGGCGATTCGGCAATTTGGACCTGATTTTTCATTGATAGAACAACTTTTTCCTGGAAGAAATCGTCATCAGATCAAGCTAAAATTTAAAAATGAAGAGCGCCGATCTCCATTTAAACTTTCTGAGGCTTTAGCAAGTCGTGCCAATGGTGAAGTTCCTTTTTAGTTGTCTTTTAATCAAATGTTTGCTTACAAAATAGAGTAGTAATATTATAAACTATTTTGCAGATAATTCCTATTTTGAGAAGGTGATTGAGCAGTTGCGGCAAGTTGCTGGTGCAGATCTGGAGTCTAATGGAGACATTTCCATTGATTTAACACATGAAGAGGAAGAGTTCACTCCTGCCGGAACTAATGTACGCTTCCTTTTCTTCATTATTTTGGTCTTAAAAATTAGGATAATAATTTGCAATGATGCTCTGGTAGTGTTGGCTGAACATGTTGATGAGTTGATATGTCCCGCCTAAGGAATATGAATCAATGTGTAGGAATGGCTATATGCATTTTAGAGGTTTCGCTATTGCAAAGTTTTTGAGAACTTAGAAAGTGATAAATTCATATCTTACTCGGACAGTTGTGTATGTTTAGTTCCCCCCCCCCCCCGAGATTTTCATGTATTTTAGATTGTCCTTAGGAGGATCATATCCCCATACTAATCTATAGATATGTGTTGGACGTGAGTGTTGGATACGGAATGGCTGTATACATATGCAAGGGTTTGATAATACAAATTTGTTACTCGTACTTGGGAATGTTTAATATTTCCCCCCCAAGATCTACATTTATTTTGAAGGTTCTTGGAGGATCATATCTCTAGATTCATGTCCGGATATGTATTGGACACCAGTGATGGGTACATGCACTTCAAAAAGGAAAAAAGTACAACAATTTATCTGATAAAAACTATTCAATGCCATTGAGTGTAATTACTACATCTAGATAATGACTTGATCTCTTCATGTATTTCACACCATAGCTCGTATTTCCCTTCTTTCTAATCTCAACCGTGTTCTGTTTATGTTCCTTTTCTTTGATCGGTGATGAGATAATCACTCAATTATGAAATTTGAATATTTGATCAGGGAATTTATATGGACTGCTTATCGTGTCGTTTCATTTTTTATCTTCATGTGCTTGCAGGAGGAAGTGGCAAAACCCGAGCAGGATGAGGATATAGCAAAACCGGAGCAGGATGAGGATGTAGCAGTCGGAGATCAAGAAGCTGATGTTACTGACGACCACAGTACTTTACAGTCTGATGAAATGGATGATGATCATGAAATATTGAGTTCATATAAAAGCGCATTTTAGGAAAATCCGAACCCCAATAAAGTAGTTTAGATTTTCGTAACTTGCCCAAGGTGAGGTTCCTTTGTTATCTTTTCATCAAATGCTTCGCTCATTATTATGAGCTCTTCATGCTTACAAAATATATCAAGATGATGTTAGAAGTGCATTTTAGGAATCCCAACCCCAAAAAAGTAGTTTAGATTAAGATGTTAGAAGAAATTAGCATATTGATTATTTCTAACTTTAAATCCATGAGTTTTCCAACCCATCTTTAGACAGTCTTAGTACCCAGCTTGTGCAAAGGGCAATCTTCTTGTACAAGGGCTTAAAGATTGGACCCTTCTTGGAGTAGAGATTTTTGTTTGTTAAGAATAGAGAATTGATCATTTGTCTTGAGATATTTAGTAGTTGAACTTGAAGAACCTTTTATGGCTTCTAGAGCCATTAATAAGAACAATTTCCGAGTATGGCATGTATTTAGAATTTGAATCCACCACACTTATTTATGTTAAATAGCTGCCCAAAAGAAATAACAACAATTGCAGTGAGCGTGGCAATCAACATATGCAAATTTTAACATATTACAATCAATAAAAATAAATGTGGATAAATACGTCTACTTTGGGAGATTTGAAAGGATTTAGAGTTTCATTGAAGGAATCCGCTTCATGAGTCGGGATTTACCCCTATCAAAGCGTCATAAAGGCGCTATCCACGGGAATACTGGGTTTGTGAGTTCAATTGTATTAAAACTATTAAATAAAAGAGTAAAGTACACAAATAGTCATCGAGTGATTTTTATTGAATTTCTTTACTATTAAAAGTTACATTAAAAGTTATAAAATAATCTTTTGATTATAAGGTGTTATTTTGTTGAGTCTTTTAATTATTAAAAGTTATAAAATTGTTACCCGACTAGTTAGTATGTTTTAAACTTGTCATTTTATGTTAAAAAAATGATAAATTGATTGTTAATATATTGATTGAAATATGATAGTTTTTTGAGACTCTAGGATCAGATTTTATCACTTCTCAGTTAGTGAGTTAACATTCGGCTCAGATTGTTGTAAAATTTTTAACGAAAAAAAATGAGTTTGGAACATATTAAATAATCTTGTGACTATTTCATAACTTTTAATAGTCAAATTACTCAACAAGGTAACATTCTATAATTGGAGATCATATTGTAACTTTTAATAGTCGATGAATTCAGAAAAATATTATCCTACAGAAAAAAAAAATTTAATAGATAATATAGGCTGCCAAAATTTTATTTTGGCCCTTATTGTTGTGTTCCATCGATGATTTTGGGCTTCCACCTCCGTTGTTAAAATATATTAATTAATGAGTAATATGTGAGTGGTCAAATTAAGAATTAAATTAGGATAGATCTAAAAATAAGTCTACGAAAGAATGGAGATTACGAAGATAATTTTTTTTATGAAATTAAATCGTTAAAAGATATTTAAGGATATGAATATGTTATATTGATATTTAAGATGAGAAAGCGATAGTATAATTTTAAATATATTTATAGATATAACTGTTTAAATTCAAATATTTTAAAGAGATATATTTTCTTTATTATAGAGGGCACTCAATATATTCTAAATTCATGTATTATGTTCTACAAAAGAGGGGAAATATGGTATATACTTTGATGAACTATAATAATAAAATATACTATATTTTATAAAAAAATTCTAAATTTGATCATGGAAATTTGAAGAGTAACCCAGATATATACTTTGAGACTGATATAATAGAAAAGAAAAAAAAAGGGGAAATATAGTGATAAAATCTTTTTAATCCAAACCAACATTAATTTTTAGGTCATAAAGTCGATAACAAAAACAATTTTTCTTCATTTGGTAACCAATGGCGGGATTAGTTTGGTGAATTTTGTAGTGGGTGGGTTTAAAAGCAAGCATTTAAAAGTGAAACCCCCCACACCACTTCCCTCTCTTATCACTCTCAAAATTCAAAACCCAAATGGAAGAATCGACAGACCCGGTTTCCGCTTCGTCATCCTTAGATGAACTTTGGGAGGATCAAGATTCCTCTTCCCAGCCTTCCTCCGACACTTACTTGCTCGGCTTTGTCATCGCCAACATAGTAGGCCTTCAGTACTACAGAGGCACAATTAGTGGCCGAGAGATGGTGGGTCTCGTGCGAGAGCCTCTCAACCCTTTCGACGCCAACGCCATCAAAGTTTTCAACACTAGAACCCTTCAAGTCGGTCATATCGAGCGTTCCGTGGCCGCGGTACTGGCGCCTTTGATTGACTCTCACTTGATTGTCGTCGAAGGTATCGTGCCTAATTCTCGTAGTGCTTCTAATAGGTTTAGAATCCCATGTCAAATTCACATTTTCGCAAGGCTAGAAGCATTCGGTTCTGTCAAGTCCGCTATTTCAGGAGGCGGGTTGAACTTAATTGCCCACTCTGATGTGTCTTTCACGTTGTCGGAGGCGGCTGTGGTTAAGGGAAACAAGGCTGGAGGAGAGTCCCGGAGCTTGGATAAGGTTTTCAAGTTGGTCGAAAAGAATGTTAGCAAGAAGGCGGCAATGGTACCTGTGGAGCCTCCGAATGAGATTATTATATCTCAGCTTTTGTTGCACCAGAAGGAAGGTTTAGGATGGTTACTCCATAAGGAGAATTCAAATGAGTTGCCTCCCTTCTGGGAGGAAAAAGGTGGAGAATTTGTAAATGTGCTGACAAATTATCAGACTGATAAACGTCCCGAGCCTTTGCGAGGAGGTATTTTTGCCTGATGATATGGGATTAGGCAAGACACTAACTTTGCTTTCCTTGATTGCATTTGATAAATTTGGTAGCATTGTTCCAAAGTCCGGTGATGTTGTCGTAGAAGAGAACTTTGAGGAGAATGTTAAGAAGGGAAAGAGGGGTAGAGTTAGTAAAAAAGGTACTGAGACACGGAAAAAGCAAAAAGCAAAGGGGAAATCAGTGGCTGTAGCTGATGAGTGTCTCAGTGTTTCAGGAGGAAGAACCACGCTAGTTGTGTGTCCCCCCTCTGTGTTTTCATCATGGATAACACAGCTAGAAGAACACACTAGTCCGGGAAAATTGAAAGTGTATATGTATTACGGAAGAGAGAGAACTAAAGAAGTCGACGAGCTTAAGACTTATGATATTGTGTTGACAACTTATAGTACCCTGGCCACTGAAGAATCTTGGTTAGACTCCCCTATGAAGAAGATGGAGTGGTGGCGAGTCATTTTAGATGAGGCACATGTGATTAAGAATGCAAATGCTCAACAGAGTAAAGCTGTCACTAATTTGAAGGCCACTTGTAGATGGGTTGTTACAGGAACACCCATCCAAAATGGCTCCTTAGACTTGTTTTCTTTAATGGCATTTTTGAGGTTTGAACCATTTTCTATTCAAAGCTATTGGAGAAGTTTGGTTCAACGACCCCTTGCTCAGGGTAATAAGAATGGCCTCTCTCGTATCCAGGTAATCATATTTCTAGTAATTTCTCTTACATAGTTGATAGTCTTACCAAGTCCTTGAAGAATAGATTGTTTATGACAATTTCACCTTGTACAAGATTCTGCGTTTCTGGTCAATCACTGTTTTTCTTTTGGTTTAGATATTTTGTTTGACTTGGTTAGCATGGATGACCTTGCACGAATTTGTTTTCCTCTTATTAAAGCACTTTATTTTTATTAGTTTCATACCCTTTGATATTGCTTGTTTGAGGGAGCTATTTGAGGTTTTCTCCCTTTTCCTGGTTTTATCACCTTGACACAACTAAATTCTTAATGTTTCAGAAATGAATTTTCTTTTCCTGGTGGGAATTTATGCTTAGGATTATAGAAAGAATGCTCTGTTGGGAAAAATAACTATGTTAGGTAGAAATTGCTGCTTTGATTGTTTCATTTCTCTATATATAGAAAATGGATGATCATAAATGGTATGAATTTCGTTATTGCCTTGGTTATATTGCAAGCACCATTTAATACTTGAATAATGCTTCTGTCTTTTCTTTTCTTTTTTAAATAAAGCAGCTGGTTTTCTAAACCCAATTGCACTTTTTGTACTTTCAAATATGAACTATTTCCAGCACTAAAATGTTTCAATGGTATAAGGCATTTGCAAGTAAAATAGTGCATATACATTGAAGGCATCTGATTAAATTTGTTAGTCAAGCATGGATTGATCAAAATGAGATTACCTCCTAAGCTTGAAATTGATGCTTGTTTCATTAAATTTAATTTCTTAATTATTTTTATACTGCTTATAAATGCATCACTTACTTTTAGTAGAATTAATCAAGTTTCGATAACTCAATTAATTAAATGTTAGGAACTTTCCCTGAAAGAGAAACTTGGTACACTTGAAATGGACTCAAATAAGTTACCATAAATAACTAGGGCAGCTATTAACTGAAATATATGTATATTTTTTTATATTTATATTATATCCATATAGTACGTTAAAAGATATTAAGAAATTAACCAGTTATAAGGGGTACTGGCGTCATGTATGAGAATACTAAAACTGTTAATTTATAGCCTTCAGTTGATGATAGTTGGCTAGTGGAGCAGATGTAGTTCACTTAGATCTCTATGTAGGATAGGCTCATTTGGTTTCCATTCTCTCATACGCGTATTAATTTTTTTACGAACTAAAATTCTCAGGTTCTGATGGCCAGCATCTCCCTGCGGAGAACAAAGGGAAATAACTTGGTTGGATTGCCACCTAAAACATTACAAACATGTTATGTTGAGCTTTCCGTGGAAGAACGTGAACTTTATGACCAGATTGAAGGAAAGGCCAAAAGTGTCATCGAGGAGTACATTTCCAATGACAGTCTAGTACGCAACTATTCGACTGTGCTTGGCATACTTTTACGATTGCGACAGATTTGTACTAGTCTGGCTCTGTTACCTCCGGATCTCAGAGCCTTGTTCCCATCTAGCAATATTGAAGGTATGCAAAGTTATTAGAATTTATCCTACTCATTATCTTGGTATTTCTTTAGGTTTAATATTTATCCAGTGCTTGTTTACAAGTGTGTTATATTTATCCAGTACTAGTCCTGAAACTTTGCAACTTTATGATTTGAAATCCAATGGTTTTGCTCGACTTTTGCAAGTTATAAGATCACCCAAGGTACATATAGCCCCTTGATATTGTATTTGTACCGATAATATCTCTGTTAACACATCTTCTTTGGGGCATGCTAGTATCACTCTTGGCTTTTCCAATGAATACTACTGTTTCATTCTTCCAAATTGGTGGTTGTTTTCAAGTTTCTGGAAATATTTCTGCATCATGGACTCATGGTACAACTTGGAGCTATTTTTCTATCATGATAATTGATGTTGTTATAGTGCACTTATAACATGTGTATCAATTCAAACAGATGTATCCAACAACCCGGAGTTGCTACAAAAGATGGTTGTGATGCTACAAGATGGTGAGGATTTCGACTGTCCTATTTGCATCTGTCCTCCAACTGATGTAGTAATTACACGTTGTGCCCACATCTTTTGCCAATCCTGCATCCTTAAAACCCTACAGCGTACGAAACCCTGCTGCCCTTTGTGTCGTCAACCCTTATCTCAGTCCGATCTCTTTTCAGCCCCTCCTGAATCTTCTGATGCTGATCACACTGAGATATCATCAAGGAATACCGCATCTTCTAAAGTATCTGCTCTAGTAAGCCTTCTTCAGGAGTCAATAGCTCAAAAGCCAACTACAAAGTCGGTTGTCTTCTCTCAGTTCCGAACTCTGTTGCTACTACTTGAAAAGCCGCTGACAGATGCTGGTTTTAAGATATTGCGGTTAGATGGATCAATGACTGCAAAAAGGAGAGCACAAGTGATTGAAGAATTTCAATTTCCGGGACCAGACGGGCCAACAGTCTTGCTTGCAAGTCTCAAAGCTTCAGGTGCAGGTATCAACCTTACAGCTGCATCAAGAGTTTACTTGATGGAACCATGGTGGAATCCAGCTGTTGAGGAACAGGCTATGGATAGGGTTCATCGGATCGGGCAGAAGGAGGATGTAAAGATTGTGAGGCTGATTGCTCGAAACAGCATAGAAGAGAGGGTATTGGATTTGCAGGAGAGGAAGAAGAAGCTAGCAACAGAAGCTTTTGGAAGGAAGGGCCCAAAGAATCGGAAAGAAGTCACAATAGATGATCTCCGCACTCTCATGTCCCTGTGAGTTTTCATCATCATGTTAAATGATCTACCCCTTGCATTTTTGTGTGTGTGGCCATAATAGGATTTCAGGACTTTCTTTCAAGTTTTATAGGCCTTTAGAGGCTGGAATATTTTGTTGTAAATATCAGATACCTAGCACTTAATGGAAAATCAGATGGTTTTTCTTCGATCTATATCTAGGATCAATTGTGAATTTATTTTTCATTGAAATCTTCATACATTTATGTTAACTAAACTTCATTGTGTTTAATTAATAAATGGCAAGATAATTGTTGAATTCCATGTGCGAAGGAAGCTTTGCACAAGAGCAGTTCAACTTAAATTTCTTTTCAATGGAGATAAACAATGGCGTGGTCACATAAACATTACAACAATTTTAAAAGAAAAAGAAGCCACTCTTGGCAGGAAAATTTAGGAGAAGATACAACAGATAAATAAAGCTATGTAGAGATGGCAGTAGTGGTGACATCTTTATTGGAAGATGGAAAAGCAACTTCCTTGACAATTTCATCTTCTGACTTATCATCTTTTACTGCTAGCATAACCAGAAGTACCAACAGTGGATAACTTATAGTCGTGAGTGACCAATTCACTATCAACTGTGACAGCAATGGAACCTTATGCGAATCAACTTGCCAGGCGACTGCCGCTCCGGCACTTTGCACTCCCTTATAAAATCCACTATATCTGGAAGCCATCAATGTATAAATATCAGTCAACTTATCCAAAAGAATGAATGATTAGAGGATGATATAGAAGAAGGCATGGCATTACCTGCTAAGGGTTTGTGAATCGTCTGCCAAAGCTCCTATGACCCAATAAACCATGCTTTGAAACATGGCATCCAACAAACCATAGCTGAAGTACAAAACAAAGGGACCGGCAAAAGCAGAGTCCCTGAAGTCCAGCTTCTTAGGTAGATCATCATGGGAATAAGGAATCTGGTTCGCGAGACCACCGCCCCAAATTGCACTGCCAACCAAAGCTACTACGCCGATCCCGACAAAACCCCTCATCCTCCGACTCTGAAAACTAAAATCCAATATGTAACCGATCCCAACAGAGCCTAACATCTGAGCTCCCCAGTAGAACACATTGTTTAACCCTCTTGTCCTCAGGTTGAAAAGAAGACCATTCACATTATTGAACTGATAGCTGTAGAAGAAATTGCTGGCCCAAGCAGCAGGGACAATAAGCAGCATTTTCCAATTAGCAAACAGTTTGAGAACCTCGATTGCCTCGGTGGCGACACTGGAGTACTTAACATTGGAGCAACGTGTACTGTCATCCCGAACAACGCGGTCGGGTGGCAAAATGGCAAAGGAAAGCAGAGTCCCTGCCGTCATGAAACACATGAAGCCGATATACGTGGCGTCGTTCACGGAGGCGGCCTCGTTTCTATGATAATTCAGAATGAAAGGAATAAGTCCACCAATGACTCCACCCATGTTGAAAATGCTCCAAAACAGCGAGATATAAGATCCCTTCCGATTCGGTGGAGGGTAAGCAGTCATAATAGCGCCTTCACCGGCCCAAAGCAGTCCAGCTCCGACGCCGAGTAAAGCACCGGCGGCGATGACGAAACCCTGGTGTTGATGGTGGTTGTAGTAAAGTAAAGAACCGGCGTAGAGGACGTAAGTGCTGCAACCACAGGCAAGGGTGAGATGAGGTCCGAGGATGTTGTAAATGCCACCACCTAAGACCCCGAACACAGCGAAAGTGGTGTAAAGGGCGGTGTTGGCGTTGTTGGTGGCGGTGGGATCGACTTGGCCACCTCCTCCCATGCCGGAGAGGGCGTTGAACATCCCGGGACAGCAGAAACATACCAGGCCTATCAGGACGACTTGCACCAGTGGAGAATTGTATCGGAATCTGGATTTTGTGGGCAATTCGGCGACTGATTCTTCATCTTTATCCCGATCTCCGATACCCATTTTTATCCTTGTCGGTCAAAGGATTGGAATAGCAAGAAGATTGTGGGGGATAGGATTCAGACTAAGAAGTATGAAGTGTTTTTATAGAGGCCTAATCGTATGGCTTGCTTCAAGGAAAATGTAAACTCTGAGTAATAAATAGATAGATTCACAAGATTCCAAACATTACTTTCTAATATACACGTCACCATCCTGGTTCTTCCGTCTAGTTTTAATATCTCTCCACCATGATTTCAAATTTATCTTTTATAAATATTATATAATCATTAATATAAATTGAGTACTACGTAAATTTATTAAGACACGGCTGTTTAATAAAATTTGATTTAAATACTGGAAGTAAAGAAAATTATACGGTGCGCATCGCATATTAAAATATACTATTAATATGATGCATAAAAAAACACCACTAATTAAATTATTTTTATTATGTAAATATTAACAGGATAAATTACACGTTTAATTCATAAATTATCACTTTTGTTTTACTTTAGTATCTAAACTTTATTTTTTTAAATATATCTAATATTTAGTTTAAATTTTGATTTGGTACCCCGCTATTAAATACTTAGCAACAATGCTAATGCGGCATGATATGTCATTTTTTTTATTTTCATATCACATTTCTTTTTTTTCCGTCGGAATTTTTAATTAATTTCATTCAACCAATTAAGTGGTGACACATGTCATCACCTATGAGTAGGGTTGCACATTTGTCGGATTTCAATCCGATCCGGATCGGTTTTTATCCGATCCGGATCGGTTTTTATCCGATCCGGTTTTTTCCCATAGAAAAAAAATCGGTTTATAAAATAATCGGTTCGGTTTCTAACCGGTTTGGAGGGCCGGATATCCTAACCGGTGTAACTGGTTTCGATTTTAAAAAAACCGGTTTTTTTAAAAAAAACCGGTTATAAAAAAACCGATTTTAATATTATTAAAATTACATCGTCATCAATTGCAACAAAGTTTACGATAATTTGTTGAAAACATTTTGATATTTCGATATAACAAATTAAGTTAAATGAATTTTAAGATTTTCCAAATGATTTTCTAAGTATATTCGATATAATTATTCAAATATCAAAACATTACTCCAAATATTTCAAAAATCATTTTTAATCCTTACTTAAGTGTAAAATTAAGTTTTAATCTTAAAACAATTTCAAAATAATCTTTCAAAGTATTCGAACCATTTCAAAGCCAAAAATTCCAGATTGCTCATAGGGAACCGATTCCCCCCAAGGGGGTACCGATTCCTCCCTAAATGGTTTGGCTCCGAGATTTCCAGAATGCTCAGAGGGAACCGATTCCCCCATAGGGGTACCGATTCCCCCCTATTCAACGGTCGAAATATTTGAATTTTACACTTAGGGAACCGATTCCCTATGAGAGGGAACCGATTCCCTATGAGAGGGTACCGATTCCCCCACGCTCCAAGCATTTTTATTAAATGTTTTCACACTTAAACGACTATATTATCTTCATTAATTATCACTAACGTTCAGAAGTGATTCAATGTGTATTTAAGCAAGCTTAGAAGCCATTGATCAAAGACAAGAAACATCAAGCAACTAGAATCAAGAGAGAATCAAAGAGAAAGCATCAAACCTCAAGTTCAATAAATTCAAATACTTAATTGAAATACTTAATTAACTCAACATAATTGAAATACTTAAATACTTCCAAGTATGATAAATTCAAATACTTAAAAACTTCCAAGTTCGATAAATTCAAATACTTAAAAACTTCAAGTTCGATAATTGAAATAAAGTTTACGATAATTGAAATAAAGTTTAAAAATAAACTACATTGCCATCTCTTCTTCATCATCTTCGCATTCTTCGTTTGGAGGGGATATTCCAAGTTCGACTTCTTCAATGTGTAAGTTTGCTTCCAAATCGGCATCAATTGCATCTTCTAGGGTGGTTATATGTTGCTTACGAGCCGCTCCATCCAAATAATCCTTTAAACAAATGCATACTTCCACCGACTCGGGACTTAGTCTTGATCTCCGTTGCGATATAACCCTGCCACTAACAGAAAAAGCGGATTCAAAAGCTACCGTAGAAGCTTGGACGGTTAGTAAATCACGGGCCATGGCGGCTAGAATCGGAAATTGTGCTTCCTTTTCTTTCCACCAAGCCAAAATATCCAAACTTTCAAACTCTTCAAATGTCATTTTTGATAGAAAATCGCATGACATGTAATTTTCCAACTCGCTACTTGGGGTGGTAGTACGTGATCGTTTGGATTGGGAATTTACAAGAGTGTTAAAAAGATTCAAATTTATGTTACTTGGACGTCTACTAGATGATTCCGCATTCATTCTCATTTGATCGTGTATTACACTACTTGATCCGTATTTAGTTAAATAAATTGCAAACATGTCTCGAAAACATTTGTTAAAATAATTTATTTGGTTTTGGACAAAGTTGGGTTCATCATCGGTTAGATTAAAAGCAAACACAATTTGTTCAATTAGTGTTTCAACCCCACCAACATTTAACGTTGGGTTTAAAGTGGCGGCACAAGTAAAATGGGGGAATCTCCTTAAAATATTTTAAAAGTTTTTCCTTCATTGCAAAGCCAATTTCTTGAAAAATTTCGGTTTCAAATTCAAAGTCATTTAGTCGGGTAGCCAACAAAAATATTTGATTAAGAACCAACGGGCTAGTAGGGAAATAAACACCGGATAAAAAAGTTGTTGCATTTTTAAAAACCTCAAGCAAATCGGTTATTTTGGCTATAGTTTCCCAACTCGAATCCGGATAAATGTTTGGGACATGACCCCTCTCGAAAAGCCGATCGTGAAATGTTTGCAATGTTTCCCTTTGCCTTAAGGCAGTATGCATCATCATCCAAGTTGAGTTCCAACGAGTTGGACAATCCAAATTAGGACCCAAAGCTTTTTTATTAACGGACTTACAAAATCGTTTATAATCATTTAGTCTTTTGTTGTTGTTACAAAAAACCGATTTTATCATTGTTTTAAATTCTAATCTAATCGGCTCAATAACCTCCAAACCGGCTTGCACGGATAAATTAATTATGTGTGCAACGCAACGGGTATGAAAAAACGCACCGTCTAAAATCGGTGAAAGTAATATTTTCAATCTTGGAACCGCGTTGTATTATTCGATGCATTATCAAAGGATATAGAAAAAACTTTATTTTCTAATTTATAAAGACAAATTACCCTTCTTAAAAGTGTAAATAAATTAGCACCGGTATGCGGCTCACCGAATAATTCAAACGCGATTGTTCTTTTCATCATTTGCCAATTATCTTGATCTAACCAATGTGACGTAACGGCTAAAAAAGAATTTCCGGTATTATGAGGAGAACTCCAAACGTCACATGTAAGCGACACACCATAACGGTGTTCTTGGAATCCTAAAATCATTTTTTCCCTCGCCGTACGCCACATTTTTATAGCATCTCTTCTAAGGGTAGTACGACTTACTTGAGTATAACGTGGTTGCATTAGTTGTTGAATTGTTGTCGTGAAATCTTCATCATCAAAGTGGTCGAACGGCAATGCTTTTGTAATCACGAACTTTGTAAACGCTTCTCGTAATTTTTCGTTGTCGTAAACAAAAACACCACCTTGCGGTGTAAGATTCGATTGACTAGGATCCGATCTTGAGCGAAGTGCCTTGCATGATTTTGTCAAATGGTTCTTCAACGTTGTGTTTCCTTCCGATGCAAGAAACTTTAGACAAAGTTTACAACGCGCCCTCCTCGAGCCATTTGACATCTCACATAAATCGTAGTGATCCCAAATATCTTTGTTTCGAGTGTGTTCGATCACTCTCACGACTTTAAGGTTTCCCCCGACGGAAGATTCAGCCGTGTTACTCATGATGAACAAAAAATTACAAAAATAAGATTTGAGAGATGTTTAAGTGTTGTGTAATAAGATTTGAGAAAGTTGTAATCAACCAAATACATCCCCAGCCTATTTATACATGTTTAGGGTGGTAAAATGGTAATTTTTTAAAGAAAAAAACGATCAAAAACGGTCACAAAACCCCCCCAACGGCTATATTAACGACTAGTTTTTTAAACCCAAACCGGGTTTTTTTTCGGATAAAAACGGTTTTTAACCGGTTTTTTATCCGGTAAAAAAACCGGTTAAAATAACCGGTTTAAAAAAATCCGATCCGGTTAAAAAAAAACCGGTTTTTCCCAAATCCGGTTTCGGATATTTTTTTCGTAAAATCGGATATTCGGATTTTTTGTGCACCCCTACTTATGAGGATAAAATGAAAGAAATTATTCTTACTCTCAACATGAATCGATGACCAAAAGCTTAGTTAGTTAATTATAGTGTGATTTTTTTATTATATTGAACTTAATACTTACTTATACCATTATAAAATTAAAATACTATTTTTTCATTTTATTAGAAATAAAAAATAATTAAATAATTTATATGTTTTTATAAAATTTATGATTCTTTTATTTGAAATAATATTATTTATTTTTTAAATATTTTAAATAGGTAATTATTTTTTATTATACCAAACTTAATATTTACTTATATCATTATTAAGTTAAAAGACTTCGATAACAATTTAATTTAAATAAATAATAAATAATATGATTTGGATAATTAAATAAATTAGTCTTTTAATTTAATTGTAATATAAGTATTAAGTGCAATATAATATAAAAAATTTAAACTATAATTGAGAGGCTAAGCTTTCCGTCATTAATTTAAAGTGTATTGACCAATGACGATTCATGTGGTAAGCAGTTTGATGTCGTTTAAGAGCATTTTTTTTTAGAATAAAAATGATTTGCATTCATTCGATTCCAATTGCGTCCAAAATAACAACATTCGAGATACATTGAGGATAGTCACTAACAAACCATAAAGGAACATTATAAAATTAAAATACTATTTTTTCATTTTATTAGAAATAAAAAATAATTAAATAATTTATATGTTTTTATAAAATTTATGATTCTTTTATTTGAAATAATATTATTTATTTTTTAAATATTTTAAATAGGTATTATTATACCAACTTAATATTTACTATATCATTATTAAGTTAAAAGACTTCGATAACAATTTAATTTAAATAAATAATAAATAATATGATTTGGATAATTAAATAAATTAGTCTTTTAATTTAATTGTAATATAAGTATTAAGTGCAATATAATATAAAAAATTTAAACTATAATTGAGAGGCTAAGCTTTCCGTCATTAATTTAAAGTGTATTGACCAATGACGATTGATTCATGTGGTAAGCAGTTTGATGTCGTTTAAGAGCATATTTTTTTTAGAATAAAAATGATTTGCATTCATTCGATTCCAATTGCGTCCAAAATAACAACATTCGAGATACATTGAGGATAGTCACTAACAAACCATAAAGGAACATTATAAAATTAAAATACTATTTTTTCATTTTATTAGAAATAAAAAATAATTAAATAATTTATATGTTTTTATAAAATTTATGATTCTTTTATTTGAAATAATATTATTTATTTTTTAAATATTTTAAATAGGTAATTATTTTTTATTATACCAAACTTAATATTTACTTATATCATTATTAAGTTAAAAGACTTCGATAACAGTTTAATTTAAATAAATAATAAATAATATGATTTGGATAATTAAATAAATTAGTCTTTTAATTTAATTGTAATATAAGTATTAAGTGCAATATAATATAAAAAATTTAAACTATAATTGAGAGGCTAAGCTTTCCGTCATTAATTTAAAGTGTATTGACCAATGACGATTGATTCATGTGGTAAGCAGTTTGATGTCGTTTAAGAGCATATTTTTTTTTTAGAATAAAAATGATTTGCATTCATTCGATTCCAATTGCGTCCAAAATAACAACATTCGAGATACATTGAGGATAGTCACTAACAAACCATAAAGGAACATTACAATTTAACACTGCCCATTTTGCTAGTTCATGAGTTTAAGTGTATTTCTTAAATTTAAGTACTTGTGTATGCAGAAAATCAACTGTGTAATTCGGGTCGATTCTGATTAATCAAAACAAAACCTTAAAAATCAAGAGGACAACAAAAAAAATTAAAATGTATTATATTCAAATCTTATAATCATCGAAAAATATTTATTTTTGAGTGATATTGTTATATAACTTAAATGCAAAATATGGTGAAATTAACTTAAATGACTAGCTTAACTCAATTGTTGAGTGTATTGCTTCTCATGTAAGTGTACTAGGTTCAATTTATGCTATGAGCAAAAATAATTTCTTTTATTTTATCATTATAGATGGTGAGGTATCACCAATTAATTGGTTGAATAAAATTAAATAAAAAAATTATTGGAGGAAAAGAAAAGTGATATGATTTTTTTTAAAATTTACATATCATATCACATCAACATTGTCGTTAAGTTTTTAACGACGGAACATCAAATTGAAATTTAAACTAAACATTAAATATGATTTTAAAAATAAAATTTATGTATTAAAATAAAATAAAATAAAATAAATAATTTAGACAGTAAATATGTATTTTATTCTTTTAATATTTGTATATCAAAAATAATTTAATTAATTATACATTTCATTATATCACATTAATAATATATTCCGGTATTCCACGTCTCTCAAAAGGTAAAATATATACACTTTTGGCGTGGAATTTTGTATGAATGATCTCCCCAGACAGTTGACTTATTTACAATTAACAGTAAGATGTGTTTGTGACATTTGTCACCTCATCCTCAACGATAGATTCATATCAGTGTAAGAAAGAAACATAAGCTAAGGTCTGTCGACTTGCCTTTCAAATTCTCTTTTGGCTAAACAACATAAATGATTATTAATGTTTAATTAAGGTTTTTTCTCCATGTTTTAAAAGTAACGATTTAGTCATTAATATTTTTAATTTATCAATCATTTGCTATTAACAATTGTTAACGGGTTAATACAATATCAATGTGGTGCATTATATAGACTAATCTGACACTGTTTGACATATAGAACAATCATTTTAACTGATCATTTAACTCTCATTTCTTATTATTTTGCTTTCTTTATCTTATATTCTTCTTCACAAACAGTTGATTCATATACAAATAGAAATACATTTAAATTTGGCCAAACGGTACTAGGTTAGTTGGCCTAATGCACCACATCAATATTCTATTATTCTGATAACGCCGGTTAATAATGAGTGATGGATTTATTATAAATCAATAGCATCACCATATCAATGATGAAATTGTTACTTTTGAAATATCAATGGAGAAAATAAAAAAAAATCAAATGTCAATGATCATGTATAGTCTCCCATTCTCTTATTACACGGATCGATAACTGATTTGACGGATATTTTAGATTTTTAAATCATTTGTTTTAATTTAGTTGAGATTATTTTTTATATTAATTTATAGTTTCAATTAATTTTAGTTTCTTTTGATAAAATAGATTAATTTTATTTTTTATATTTTGATAAAATTTTATATAAATATTTCAAAAAAATTATAAGTTATTTTTATTATTTGAAATATAAATATTTATTTTTTACTATACATTTTTTTAAAAATTAATTATAAATTAAATAAAAAATAATTCAGTTTAATTTTAATAATTATAATTTTTTTGAATAAAAGCCTCTAGTTTTATTAAAAATAGAAAAAATATAAATTACAATGATTTACCATTATAACCATAAACTAAACACATAATAATGACATTTTCTTATAATCATTAACAAAAGAAAACTAGTCAGTTAGTATCACAAAAAGACCATATAAGAAAAATGTTAAAATCTTTACAAAATAAACTCGGACAAAAGGTAGATACGAATAGATCTGACCGCATCGACAAATGAACCACAAAAGAGGATAAAACTATTGAGGGACTGTCGACAAACCGTAAATTAAAGTCGAGCAACATGAAAAAACTATCAACGAACGCAAATCACGTATACAATCTAATCCAAGGGTTCAAAGTAGGGATAATCAATATGATAACAAATAAACTCAATCTTAATCGATCATGTTGATGTCAAATCAAACCCTAAAAAAAGATGATCGAAAATAATGATCAAACGACTGAAAACGTACCATAAAAATAAAAAAAATATGCCATAAAGGTAAATTTATTAAAATAAAATAAAGGAGAAACAATGAATATAGATGGTGGGTGACCGATATCAAGATTAATGTCTTCGTCGATCACAAGATAAAAATAATAATTATTATTATTGGTAAAGAAAAGAGACAATTAATAATCATAACATTTAAATTATATTACATAACTCGTTCAAATGTTTTTAATTTAATTTGATTGATTGTTTTCCCAAACTCTACAAACAAGTATTGTCTATAAAATTATAGGGAACCCTTTTGTTAAGTCGCGTTGAATCTGAAAGCAACGTGTTGACATTTAAGTTGGGTAAATTCTAAGTAGTAGGAAGCCAGCTGCCGGCCTTTTCTTCCCAAATTCCCTCTTCCTTTCAGAATTATTTATTTATTTTCCAAAGCCCACGATTGTGTGCCCAATTAATTATTAATATTAATAACTTTTTATTAGGTTGTGCCCCCTATTTAATTAGTTATTAACATAGTTCTATTTGGCTTTAATTAACTAGGTGTTAACACCTCCACTATCCTTTCATTAAGTTACATCAAATACAAATTCAATTCAATAAGTAGATTAAAAATAACATTTAACTTATAAATCCATTAGTCTAATGTGATTTGATATCTAATATCCAAGTATCGATTGATGTTATATTACCTGTTAGTATTTATTTTATTACCCGCTAGTTTCCCTCCATGTGACACGTGTAAATAAATAAGGATATATTCAGCGTAATTAAATTTATTGATGTGTAATTACCTTAAGAATTTTATTCAGTCTTATTGAAATTTATAAATTTACAAATTACAAACCATACCAGACACTCCCAACAACGATGTTGACAGAGACAAAATTAGAAATTTATTTTTGAGCATTTAAAAAAAATAAAGGATTAAAATATAATTTTATAATTACTTTGATCTATAATTTTATCATTTTTTAAGTAACACTTTCAACAGGTTCCACTAGTTCTTCACATCAACACAATTAAATATTTAATAGTCATTGTTATTTACAAGTATTAAAACCTTCGAAATTTCTAAATTGATTGGCTGTAGATAAAAAAAAAATCTAAGACGGCCTACTTAGATTGGCTTTCAATTTTATTTTCGAAAAATAAAGTTGTTGAAAAATAATAATAATAAATTACATATCAAATTTAAATAAATAAAAGAGAAATCAAATATAATTGGATATAAGATTCATATTAAATATCTATGGAACTTCAACTTTGAAACGCGGTTACCAAATGGCTACATAAACAACAATCCTGGCAGAATTTGACAGTCAATTGTTTTACTTCTGGTGCATCAAATCTACCAATTTTGATATGTAAATTCATTTATATAAATAGACACTCAAATCATGGATTTGTTATATATATATATATATATAGTGTTGCTTACCCTTTGTTACAATTGAACAGATAAACAATAAAAAGGTTCGGATTTATGAGTTTCTTACCAGTTTTCCTTCATCTTGCCGTTGGTTTGTATGTTATTCGCATTCACGACCAAAACTAAACTGGATCATAAGTTATCGGCATGTCATTACCATAATCGAGCACACGGGAGCAGTATGACAGAACAGTTCTGGAAATCTAAAGACAAATGCTTTTGTCTCAACCTAAAAAATAAAAATGGAGAAAGCATTTCATAAATAAGGTAGCAACTGAAGCTCTTTAACAATGTGAGCAGCGTGAAGCCATGAACGACTAATGTATCTAGATGGACCTTGTACTATAGTCAAAAGTACAACTTAATCTTGTACTATAGAACCGCGTCATCTAATCCTTGTTTGTCGCAGCTATAGGTGCAAACAAATATAATTGATAACAGTGTTACAGGAAACTGTCTAGATGCTAATATCGATTACTAAAACACAAAAAGACAAACACACAGATAGAATAAAATAAAAAACCATATGCTTCGTCAGATTTCAAATCGTATGTTTCGTCAAATTTCATAAGTCATGTCTACACACAGTTTTCCACTACCATTGTTATTGGTTTTACTTATTTGCATCAAATATCAAACGCATAAAGATCAAATTACTTGGTTGTCTATACAGGACTAAATTGCAGTTTTGACTATAATATGACTGCCTAAAAACTCAATCCATGAATGTCAGTATTAATTCATTTAAAAGGGCATTCTTACCAGAAGTAGAAACTGCTTTGATCCATGTGCTGCAGATCCCATAATCCTTCACACTACAAATTTAATAGCCATGAATACCACACAAACAAAAGGAATGACAAACAAAACTGCTAGAGAAACTACATGATAATTGCAAGATCAAGAATAATAGTTGTCATGCAATAAAAAGCTTGTCCCTTGCAAATTTTGTAAGTCACCATATAGCAAACTAAGCAAAGTACCCCGAATCTATGTTTCTTGTACTCCTGTTGGTACCGGATACTAGTATTCGTCTGACATCAATATATTCAATTTTTTCCAAGTCATTTCATGTATTCGAAGAACCCTTGGGGTTCCAGATGTGTTAAGACATAGATACTTCAAGGAAAATAAAGAATCAAAGCAATATAGCCCTGAAATCAGCAAAACATCCAGTGGCCTTCAGTCTATTAAATTAGCACAAGACCCCAACCCCACACAGGCACACAAAGCATATAATAAGAATAGAATCTTCCAAATCAAAAATGAAATATCATTTGATTCTAATTCGACTTCCGAATTTTCCACTTCAATATCTGAAACTCCTTAAACAGACAATATATTATAAATCCCTAACATGCTTTGCAATTACCACTGCTATATTTCCAATTGACTAGAATTTTGAAATTGTACTAGGGTAAAATCCATACAAGTATTATTGCAAGGGCAACATATTTGAGGGTATTTCAATAATATAAGTGAACCATAATTGAGAGTTTAAAGAACCTAATAATTGCTATTATTCACTCAGAACCAAACAAACCACCATAATTGTATTTCAAAAATGATAATTCTTAAAATAAGAAGAGAGAAACCTCTGAAAACGAGATTTGTGCTTCTTATCTTTAAAACTTAGACTATACTGAAGACCATAGTATTTAACCAAATGCATATAGACCATACCATTCAGCCAAATGCAGAACCTCAGGAAATTAATTATCCCCCGCGGGGGGGGGGGGATGGTAGGATTCTGAAATTAAGATTATTGTTCAGATTTCAGTTGTAAGGCCTGAAAAACACTAATGCATTCATTCAATGCTCATGCATAAACATTGGCTAACTGCTCATTAGAGGTACACTCAGAATTTTACGATCATATTATTAGTTGCAACCATCTTTTATATCTTACTGCTTGAAACACCTCATGCCTTACATTAGTGAGAAAGCTATTCGCTAACACTATAAATAATCCCTCGAGTATGTTAGTAAAAGCTTCTAGCTGTTAATGCTGTCACATTTCTCTATGCTAGTATACCTTCTCGGGAAACTAGAGCGCTTGCTGCCATAACTTGTTTGATCCACTAACCATGTGCTAACCTCACCCACAATGCATACATAAATACCATTTGCATTCCCACTTAAGATTTAACTCATAAATTTAAGCAATGAAAATAACATGGATGAATCAAGTTTTCACTGTTTATGATAAGTAGAAAAAATTTTGGTAGAAAACAACCATTTCTGAAATAAATATGGACGTCACATGATAAAAGGGGAAGTCATCAAACTAACTAGAAGCATATGACTTACAAGTAGATATTACTTGGGTCGATTTCAGGAAACAGGTTAATATAAAACCGAAAGCCATCGGGGCTTATATCTCTGCATAGAAAACCTGCCAATATACAACGGTAATTATTAATGTTGGATATTTAGAAATATTTAAAGAGAAAATGAAGCAGAGTTGTACCTTTGCTCTCTGCAGTTAGCAGATGCTCCTTTGCCATGGCTGGAGCAATACCTAATGTCATCGCAGCATCAGTTGGACTTATGCCATTTCGAAGTGCTTCGGGCTTAGTCGCAAGGCTTTTGATTCTAGCAAAAACCTACAAATGAAAGGACAAGTAAATTTCCGGGTGATAGGTTCTTGACAAATTACAACTAAATTATACATGTCAAAGTGGCGAATACAATACACTTCAAACTTTTTCCAGCAAAGTAAATTAACCATATATGTGTTTAATTTGTAATCAATTGCCGAAAGACAGAACAGCCGAACATTAATATAACGCCATGACAAAACCCAACTGTAAATAATACAGGACTTATAATCATAATGATCAAACATCTTGATTGGATTGGAACAACCACAAGAAAAATCAAAGATAACTATATAAGCAAATATGAAGTTTATTTGTGAACTCTGGATCATACATCCACTGCCAACCATGTTTTCACTTTTCTGGAATAGTTGATAAACCTTAGCCAATTTCACATCATTATCAGTGCTTCAAGCAAATAAAAGCATATGGGCAATAGAAAATAGAAGTATCAGTGTCTATTTCGGATTCCTTGAAAATTAATGATATAAATCATCTCTGAAATCTAAGAACTAGGAAAAACCTTACAGATTCAGATACATAATAGGGCAAAGAAGACTAACAGAAAAAGGTAAGAAAGTTCTGTTATATAAAACTGAAATAGAATCTTATCAAGACAGAGAAACAGAAATCGATTACCTCTTCATCACTATGGGACTTGTTTTGGATGACCATGACTCCACTATCAAACTTCCTAAGCATCACTGGACTGTTCTACAAAGCATAGCCGATCAAAGATTTCAAATACTCAAGTATGATTTCTTAATATCATTGCATAAACGTAAGAAAATGAATACATACACATCAAACTTCTCCCACAAAGAACATGCTTGCAACATATCATCTGGAGAGATCAATTCTGAGGACAGAAAGAGATGGAAAGAAGTAACTTATTTTCATTTTGCTTTCAAAATGCTAAAAGCATATTTTGGAAACTGAACTGAACTAGAAAAAACAAAAAAAGTAAAAAGAGAACTGGTTCTGAGTGGAATGAAATATGTTCAGGGACAGAAACATCTAAATCAATTTCCACCAGAATAATTTCATTAATTTGAAGGCCCTCTTTGCTTGCAAAAGCCACCAAAAATCATGACAAAATAAACATCAATATTAGAGGACTCAAAAGAACATGCTATACCCAGTTCTAGACAGGGAAGTTTTACAATTAAGACTGAGGCCAAACAAAATTTCACAAGTGATTTACGTGTGACAAGCATTTAGATTAACCAAAAAAAGGTTCAATGTAGCGAAGTTGAAAATGCCCACAGTTATTAAGAATATCACGCAATCCAAGTGAAAGAGAAACGCCACAATCAGGAGATAGACATTCTCTTTATTGCATCTTTGAAAAAAATTAAACATTGTTGGTCACAGAATATCCAAAGTCTCAGTCTCATTTGTTTGGAACAAATATAAAAAATTTAGCATCTATAGAATGTAAAGAAAACTTCAAAGAAGTTGCAAATAACACTTGTTTTTTAGGTCACAATATTTTCAACAACAAAAAATAGGTTAAGAAATTTCAAGTTCACAATGTAACTAGACAAACTTAAACAGTAACCAAATTATGCATAAAAAAAAGAGATTAAGTTAGTGTCAAACCAAACCTGTGCCTCGAGCACGATTGAAGAGACAATAGGCATCTATGAGGTTGATCATTCCACCTGCTCTCTCCAGTGGCGTTTTCACAAAATCTGCCAGCTGAGGTGCCAAGAAATTAATTCAAAACTAGCTCTCAAAAGAAAATCAAGTAAAAGCCAAAAGCCAATCTACGAGACATGAAAAGTTCTTTACCAACCTGATAATAAATTTTTGAAAGATTAATTTTATATTCCCAATGAAAACCCATGGGTCCATGGGATATACAAACATAAAGAAGAATTAGAAGTAAAATATCTTCCAGGAGTATTTTGTTATCTAAGTCTTGAATCAATTAATTTTTACAACATCTGGGAAAACAGTAATCAACAAATCCCCACCTACAAAACCATCTTATTTCTAAGGATTTCTTTAGAGCCAAATAAAAATCCTACATTCTATCAAATGTATAAATAGAATGATAAGCTAAACTCCATAGAATTATTAAGTAAATACAATTAAAATTAACCCCAAAAAAGTTAAAAAAGAAAGAGAGGAAGAAGAGAACCTGACGGGACAGTTGTTGATGGTACAGGGCACCTGCAGACTCCTTAGTAACTGGGGATATTATACCAACACTCAACAGCCAATCTTGCATCTCCTCTTTTGAACCCATCTCCTCGTCATTAGTTCCACTTGTTTGAGAACTGGTTCCAGACAAAAGCTTTTGCCTCATTTTTTCTGCTAGCATCACCATCTCTTTAGCTTTACTCTGAAAATCCAAGAGTTCTAAATCTTGAACAATCAAAATGTAAGAAAACAAGCAAAAAAAAGAGACTAAAAAATCATTAACTACAGCTCAGAACCTATCTTTGCAATAAAAAAACATAACTACATTGAACCTAATCAGTCGTTTCATGCATGCCATTGACACAAAAGTTTAAATATATTGTCCTAACTTATGATAAAGATATTATGGCTAATTCCTAGTGGTTCCAAACACTCAAGGACACGTTCCACTTGCATTCACCGATGTCAAACATTTGCGCAAACAATCATAACAGAAACCAAATCAGTAATATATTATATTTCTTCTTTATGGTATAAAAACCGGACACTTCAATGTAATAAATAAAACAATTTTCCACTACATCTGGCTTATATTTCTGTGCAATGATACAATTTTTACATCAAAACCAAAGTCCCTATAATTTGCTTCAATTCGTTATAATTGAAAAAATGAATCACATTACCATGAGAGCATTTAAGTCCTGAAAAGCATCCTGCAAACTCTTATCAGTGCTCTCCCACATTTCTTGCTCCTTCCTTAAAATCCCCGCCACGCCAACCATTCTCACGGACCCGTCAGTCGAGTACAACCCCCCACCGGTTCCTGTGCCTGCCCCTGAACCAGAAGCTAAGCCCGAGCCGGTACCAGATCCTGAACCTGAAGTCTCATTACTCTCCCAAGCTCTCGCCCGCCAACTGTCCCAAAACTTCACCAAAAACCCATCACAGTCTCCCTTCCCTCTAACCACTGCCGTCACAACAACCGATCTCGATCCCGAACCTATACTGGAACCAGACCCAGAACCCGGATCGAAAACCCGACCATCGGATGAGACGAGGACTTGGAAGCGGATCCTGGGGGAGTGGAACACAGACTTGAGAGATTTTTTGGAGGAGAAGATATGTGAAATGGCGGCGAGAGGGATGGATGAGGCGGAAGTAGGGGTGGTGGCGGAAGAAGAAGAGAGCCAAAGGAGGCGGTGGGTGGTGAGGATGAGGATACCCGATTTTAAAGGGGAGAATTGGTAATCTTCAGGTTCGACGTCGACACCGGAAAGAAGGTGGCATTCAACTTCGTTCCGGAGGAAGACAGGGCGGACACTGCTCGTCACCTCCGCCTTGGAGAAGAAGTTCGACATCTCTGCGGGGTTGACTGATTAATCTTCTGTAATTTTCGTTTGATCGCAAGGGCTTTTGCTTCGACTTATTTCATTTTTGTCTACGAGTAAACTACACCACTTATCACAAAATTTTATTTTATTTTCTATTTCATTTATATAAATTTAAAATTATATTATTATTATTTTAATATGACTTTATATTTTTATTATTATTTTATATAAAAATAATTCAAAAAATTATTTTAAAGTTCGGTGATGAATACACTTATCTAGATTGTATGGTGAATCAATTTCGAATTTTGTTAAAAATCATTAATATTTAAATAAATTTTTATTTTTCTATTAATAATTTTACAATTAATGGAATATTTTAAAATTATTAATATTAACCGTTATTATTGAAAATGATGAAATATTGATGTGATACATTAATCCAGTTAACTTGGTATCATTTTACCATATGTTAAATCAATTGTTTGATTCTCCTATATTATTGACCGGTATTAAACATGATTTATGAAAATAATAACGTTTTAATGTTTGTGATTTGTACAGTTCGTAGACAATTCTTTCAGCGATTTTTCATCGAACTTGTTAATCGAAACTTTTAGAGTGTGTTTGGTTGGAGGAATGTGAGATTTTCATGGGAATGAAATCTACATTCTCCCGTTTGATTAGCAGAGAATATTATTTCCGGTAATCTTATATTACCAATAGTGAATTTTTTGGGTATATTACCGGGAATGTCATTACCAATAGTGAATTTTAGAGTGTGTTTGGTTGGATTACCGACGTTTTGGACTAAAATTCCCTTAATTTTTTTTCTTTCAAAAATATTCTTATTCTGTCATTGAATAATAAAAATTCTACGAATGTTAAATTACAAATTTATCCTTAAACTATTTTAGATTTACAAAAAAAAAAACTATAATTAAAATTTTATATGAAGTTCAGGGGTTAAAATAAAATTTTACCCTTTCATTAAACCTTTTTATATTTTTAATTTTGTAAAAAATATGTATAAATTTTATGAATTTAATTTTTTTTAAAAATATATAAATATTTTTCAACTTGTTAAAAAAACAAATATATAATAAGGACAATTTGGTAAAATATACATTCCAATAATTTTTTATTCCTTTAACTAAACACGGTAATCTTACATTCCTGCTAAACCAACCAAACACAAAATACAACATTCTCAGTAATTCTATTCCCTGGTAATATTTTATTCCCACCGATAATTTTACATTCCGTGAACCAAACACACCCTTAACCTTAAAAATGGCCACTCATCTTATTTAAACAAAACTTAGAACAATCATTCGAGAGCGTCGTCACCAACCTCAAAGACGAAAAAGGAAGTCCAAAGTCATGCATCTCCAACGACGGAATAAGATTTTTGACGGTGCACACACAACGCGTCGGAGAAAATTTCAAGCTCAAGTGGTTCCTTTCTCTATCCTCTGGCTAATACTAGTTACATGAACATCTATTGATTTGGTACAATCAAGCTGTACCTTCCCAAGTTATCGTCTTCAGAAGATTCAGTTAAAGATACAAATATTGAAGAAAAGTCCGTCAAACTGAAGTGATTTCTCAGTAACAATAGTAAAAAAAAAATCTACGGCTGCAAGAAGACAAGAGAATGGAGATAAAAGAACCAAGTTATGGAAGAACATTCTTGCATCTAGCTATCACAAACTTAATCTCCCGGCATATTATGATTCAACAACTAGTAGGATCATACAAGTTATAGATCCAAATTATAGCATTATTGCCAATGCAATTTTGAGTTCAGCCCTTTGATAGAGTGAGAGCATAAACATCAATGTGTTTTACTTTCGATCCCATCACATACAAACTCACAATATTGCAACAGTTCAAGTTATAACTATTTAGAAGCCTTAAAAAGCCAACAAAGATGTAGTTAAGTCAATTTAGTTGATAAATAACTCTGACTAAACCTGTTGACAAACAGTTGGCCCCAATCACCACATAACCAGCAATAAGTAGTATATGTTTGTGTACATGTATTATAAATATTATTAGACACAATCACGTAAACATAAGACATGAGTTATGTAGTTCAACACACATACATATTATTTATTAACATATATATAATTTAACAAGTGTTCTCAGTGATAAAAACGACTATTATTCTCGTTAGAGATCTTAGATTCGAGAAGTTGTCTCTAGAGCGTGCGTGTATTGTCAATAGATTAAGAAAATTCTAAATAAATACTACCTTATGACCCTAAAAGTTAAATATAAGAAGAATATCTCAAAGGAGACGCACAAAACCAACATTATGTAGACATGTGATGAAAATGGTGAACTATAACAAGACAATAAAATTGTGTTATTAATGCATATGTTTGCACCTTAAAATAAATATTTCTAGATTCGTCACTAGCGCTCACCTTTGAAAAACTTCCCAAAATACCTTCCCGGTACAATAGAACGAAGGAAGTGAAAACGAACAAAGAAATTGAGAGCCAACTCATAACCCACATTTTTGTCGAACACAATCGTAGACGCCGAATGAACACACGATTCACTTTGTTTAACGAAAGCCATGTTTTTTTTTTACAAGGAGACCAAGCTTCAATTATGGGAGTGCAATTGACTTCGCCAAGGAGCTAGAGCAGCAAAATCCCTATAAGCACTTTAGAGAATGAGAAAATTTGAAAGCAACAATACTAGTGATAGTTCATCGCCTAATCCCGCCATGGAACCAGATTACGGAGATGGGAACAGTGGCGAGGAAGTCAACGTAGAAAGCAAATCAGGTACAACTGAAATTGAGGTTAATATAATAAGCAGTCATGTAGATTCAGTGTTCGGTGAAGATTGAGAAGATTACTACTGAAATTTATGTTTCTTTATATAGGAGTCAAAGTGGTTGGTCAAAAGAAGTCAACATAACCAAATAATGTCAACTAAGTGTCCAAACGTGCCGCATAAACTTATGTGACTGCGATAATAATTGTTAACGGTCAAATAATTGAATTATTACAAAATAATAATATTAATGATCATTTCGTACTTTTAAAACGTCAGTGTTAAAATATAAATTTATTCATACTTCAATTATTGTTTGTATAGTTTATTGTTTAAATTATTGCTTGAATTGGTGGTATCGTAAACTAAGCAGGTGACATTATTGTAAGAGGATACGTCTATAGCGTACGTCGCATATGACAATGTATCACTAAAGCGATGTATCAAAATACACCATAAGAAAATTTATTCTTATTATGTAAATATTAAAAAGTTTAAGGATTTATTTAAAATTAATAATTTATTATATTATAATTAAATTATATTTTTTTATTAAAAATGATAATTAATTTAAGTAATTTAATTTGTATAGAATTAATATTTTTAAGTTATACAAGTTAGAATTGTCCATTAACATCAGTTACCGTCGGAGATTACCTTCACTCGTCAAAAAACCAACTGCTATAACATTTAGCGCTTTAGTTCGTCAAAAAATTCTTATTATTTTTAATAAAAAAATATGTAAATTACATGTTTAGTACCTAAATTATTACTTTATTATGTTTTAGTACATCAACTTTCAATTTTTCAAAACCATACCTAACATTTACTTTTTGTCTCATTTTAGTACACCGTTGTTAAAAAGTTAATGTCACATTTGATGTGGTATTTTTTATTTGGTAAACTACATAGTTTATCACTCAATTATCTTCTCACTCCTATTTTGATCACAAAAGTTTAAAAAAATTTAATTTAATCATTAAACTTTTGAATTGTTTCTATTTTGATCATTTGGATTATATTATTATTATTATTATTATTAGTGTTACATGATAAATTAATTAATATTTAATATCAAATAAGATTTAAAATAAAACAAAATTATAAATTTAATCCAACCCTAATCCCCAATTCCTAATCATCAATCCAACCCCCAACCCCACTGACATCACCCACTGATCACCACATAAAATCCCTTGAAAATCGTTTGCAAACCGAAAACAAATGAACAAAGAGAAACAAATTTAAGTGTCAAGAATATGACAACCACCTTCACAAAGACAATATAAGAAAAATGTAAACTTTGCTCAATACCTATAATTGGAACAACAAAAAGCTCAGAATTTTTTTATATAAAAACAAAAACAACAATAATAAAAGGGAAAGCGCGTGAAGTGGATGAGAAGGAAGTTGTCATCCATGCTTCCTCATTTCCTCTTAAAATGTTACAATTCCAGAAAAGAAAAGTAAAACTAAAATAAAGAAGAGATAAAGAGTATGAAACAAAAACAAAACAAAAAATCTAGGTTTCTATTTATACTTATTTTCTTGCACTATCTCTCATTTTCCAAGCAAAATAAAGATAACTCATTTCACTAGATCATCAACCAAACAAAAGAAACATTATCCCCTTTTTAATTTGTCGTGCCAAATCATAAAATCAAAATGAAATGAATAAAAAAAGAAGAACAAGAACTTGATGAAGATAGGTATGGATTGCAAGGTTATTTTTTATTTTTTGTGTAGTTTCACTCAATCGTATCATTGTCTCATGCAAGGGAAGAGAAGGGAATGAAAGAAAAAACAAGGGCTAGTCTAGGTTTTTGGGTATTCTTTGTTTCGTGAATATGAACTTAAGGATGAGTTTAGATTGGCGTTAGAGTTTGGAGATATAAGATTAAGATTAAGGATTTTAATTTTAATTTTAAATTTTATTTGACATTAATAATAATAAAATTGCCATGCCATACTAAAAATAATAATAAAATAATCCACATCATCAAGAGAGATCAAAATACATGTAATTTGAAAGTTTAATGATTAAATTGATTTTTTTTTTAAATTTTAGTGAGCAAAATAGAAGTGAGAAGATAATTGAGTAATTTACCTAAATAAAAAATACCACGTCAACTGTGTCGTTAACTTTTTAACGATGGGGTACTAAAATGAAATAAAAAAAATAAATGTTAAGTATGATTTTTGAAAAAAAATGAAAGTTGAGGTACTAAATTGAAACAGAAGTAATAGTTTAGGTACTAAGCATGTAGTTTACCCTAAAAATTATAATTAAATTATAG